TAGGGCTATGTGCCGAACATGCCCACCAAGTTTCGTTCCGATCGACCTCCGTTAGCCCTGTCAAATAGGTGCTTAAAATTGTTTTGCCAATGGTGGCCATGTTTTTGAGATACGCGAATGTCCTCATAGTCACTTGTGCCCCTTTGGACGAAGACACTGCATACCAATTTTCAAGTCAATCGGACCAACAGTTGCATAGTTATAGTCATTTTTAGGTTTTTTTCGTCTTATAAAAACATGTGTTGCACACATGTGTTTCAAGTTTGGTGAAGATATCTCAGTCCGTTCAGGAGTTATAGCTATTTTAGTAAAAATGGCCCCATCCCTAACAGACGATTTTGCGTCCCTAAGCGACGGTGAGTTGAAATTGTAACTTTTTTTTATAAATGTTTATATTTACTGTCCAAAGAACATTTCTGCACTGGTTTGGTTCCGATCGAGTGAAAAACCTAGGACTAGTTCGCAAAAGTAGGTTTCTGACAAAATTCAAAATGGCGGAACATTTTTATAGACGGAAATGAAATCGGAGATAGCCATTTTGTTTTGATTGAGCCAAGGAAGCTGATATAAGACACTTGAGTCTACAACAAACGGTGTAGGAGTTACGAGTTTTTGTGTTTTTGATCGCTGTAGCGCCACCTATTGGCCGATTGGGGTGAGTCTTTGTCAGAATGTCCCCTCAGGAAGCTCTACTTTCTGGCCAAATTTCAGCTCTCTAGGCCTTACGGTTTGGTCTGCACGATCAGTTTTAGCGGAGAAAAATAATAATAATAAAAAAAATCCTAACAATTACAATAGGGTTTCAGCACTTCGTGCTTGAACCCCTCATAAAACCAGAAGTTTAGGTTTAGGTTAGAATATATCTTTCTACCTTAGCATGTACATTTTTTTTTTTTAAATCAACGATTCATATAAACAATTGATTTTGCTCATCATTTTACTGAATAAGCCAACCACATAATTAGTTTCATGTGACTGGTTTTATGTTCCACACAGCAACTGATGCTTTTGTGAAAGAAGAACCACAGAATTCATGGCTCACTATGTCATTGAGTATTTTTCAATTATAGCATATGACTTTCTGTGAAACAAAAATCATGTAAACATTGTATCATCAAATATGTATCCATCTATCCATCCATGTCTATCTATCTATCTATCTATCTATCTATCGATCTATGTATCTATCTGTCTATCTATCTGTCTGTCTGTCTGTCTGTCTGTCATCCATCCATCCACCCATCCATGCAGTCCGTCCATCAATCGTCCATCATACATCCATAGCTATCTATCTATCCATCCATCCATCCGTCCGTCCGTCAATCGTCCATCCATACAATCTATCTATCTATCTATCTATCTACACTGAACAAAATTATAAACGCAACACTTTTGTTTTTGCCCCCATTTTTCATGAGCTGAACTCAAAGATCTAAGACTTTTTCTATGTACACAAAAGGCCTATTTCTCTCAAATATTGTTCACAAATCTGTCTAAATCTGTGTTAGTGAGCACTTATCCTTTGCCGAGATAATCCATCCACCTCAAAGGTGTGGCATATCAAGATGCTGATTAGACAGCATGATTATTGCACAGGTGTGCCTTAGGCTGGCCACAATAAAAGGACACTCTAAAATGTGCAGTTTTATCAAGTGGGAGTTCTGAGATACTGGGGCATTTTTATGGCCCTTTGTTTGAAAGCATGGTAATTTGCATATGAAACTTGTATACAAATTATTAAAGACTCTTAGAACACTAATATGTTGCATAGGTGTAAACATACAATATACACTCTCAATTAGATCATCCGAATACGAATTCATAGATACTAAACATGGTAGAGTTATATATATGTAAGCTGACAGGAGTGTGTTTCGATTATAAGCCTGCATAACAGTATACAATTTCAAAGACAAAATACACGATGACAATAATATACCCAATGACCTGAAGGATCATGTGTGTTCATTCAAAGAAAGGTTTTCCTATTAATTAATTAGCAAAGAAAAGTCCTTCCCTTGTGGATTTTCCCTATGGGCAAGGAAGCGATTTTCTTCACCTAAATTCCAGGAGGTCGTAAATGTATCGGGTGTCAGCATTGCTATGGAACCAGGGGCCTGTTCAGCTTCCTGGGGTGTTACAGAGTATTTGTTAAATCTAGCTAACAAAATATATATTGTGTGTTTGAGTGGTCCAGACGCTACAGTTTTTCTTTTCATTAATTTAATATATTTCATGGATTTGTTTACTGTACATGTTTTGAAAATCAAGTTAATTGTGCCTTAGGCTACTTATAGCATATAGTTAACTACATCTGGACTGGACTCGCTAATTAGATCTTCCTTTCTAAAGCTGCTAATTATACCTGATTACTGTCTTTTTTAATTGAATAAGTGTTGACTGATGGTCAATAGTTCGTTTTTTAGGGATGCAATAGCTGAGATTTGTCTTACGTGAATGAAATGTTCTCTTAAATTAAATTATAGAAGACATTTTCTTATAAAATAGTTTCTGACTAAATTGGGAACAAGAAGAAAACTGTGAAATCGGAGTGACATTTTCTAACATTATAAAATAAATACAGCATGTTTAGGTCACACAAATTGTAAAATCTTTGCTATTCTTGTCTCTTTACTTTTATAGCCCAGTCTTCCTGTAGCTCAAAGTGTAGAGCTTGACGCTAGCAACTCCAAGGTCATGGGTTCAATTTAAGGGAAAGCATGAACTGATAAAGTCGAAAAGTCAAATGCAAACGCATAAAAAGTTTATAAAACAAACTGTATGCATGCTACACAACTACATCACTGATCTAGATCAATCACATGAGCACACGCAAAATGGAAATCTGAGAAAAATCAAAAATCAAAATCAAATTTTATATATATATATATATATATATATACTGTATATACAGTATATACCCACTGTAATTTACAATCTGTGTTGCATTAGTTGTAAATGACACATTTGATGTGAAATGTATTTCCATTCCAGCAAGTTGGTGCTGTTTATGTGTTGTGAATATAAAATATGTACGTGAAAATGCAAGCAGAGCTGGCAACAGCATGAGATATCAATAACATCTCAGCTAATGTGTTGTACCTGTTTTTTTATTATGCAATAACAAATCCTGTTTATTTAGAGCAGAAAACACTCGAATACAAAAAAATCAGACACAGTGACAAATTTCCATGAAAACTATAACATTGTATTGGCGTAACAAAAGGAAACAATATGCTTTTTTTTCAATCCTCGCTACATAGGGAATGTCCTCTATGAAGTGAAGTGTTCAAAATTGCTTTTCTCAATAAAATGGTCACTGCAGCCGACGGCAGCGCACACCTCAGGTCAGCGGGATCTAAGCATCAAACACAATTATAGGAGCTTTGGGGTCTCTGGAAAAGCACATTTTATTTTTTATATAAAGAATGTGACTGCCTGACTCTATAAAGCAGCAAATTAAACTGAGGAAAACATTATTATTATTTAAGTATTAAGAACACTTCAATGGAAAGGTTCCACGGATGTTAAGGATCTTCATGGAATCATCAATGCCAATAAAAACCCTTTATATTTAAAATGTGCTAGATTAGAGTTCCTTGGTTTGTAACATTAACAAAAGCCTTTTTGGTGCTACTAGAGCCATTTTTAGATTTCAAAGGGAACCATGCACTGAAAGTGCTGTAAATAACCTTTTTAATATAGTGTATTTTCATTAATATATTTTTTATGTTATTTATTAATATTATGCTTTACCTCTCTATCGTGGTCTCATATGACCTTGTAGCCTCTTTTAAGGTTTTACATTTACAAAAAAGAAATACATAAAAATCAGGTACTTTTATTTTTATTGACATTGTGTTTGTCTTTTCTTTCATCATTGTATATATTTTGAGTGGTAGTTTCTCTCAGCAGATGATGAGGTTTGGTGGGAGCGACAGCAACTGTCTGGATAGAAATATAAATGAGTTTAGAGTAACAGTGCATCTCTCTCTTTTATATGTAAAAGCAATTATGTTCATGAAGGCCAAAAGTAGAAATGTTAAAGAAAAAAGTAATAAAAAGGCATAGCTTTAATGGTTTTGTGACTGGCCATGTTTATGCATAAACCAAAGTGATAATTGACAACTCCAATAAAATGGATGACAAGTCCGACCGGGCCAGTATGGCGCTACCAAGAGGACCTGCTCCTCGTCCTCCCTGACCTTGCACAGTGTCTGTGCGAGAAGTCTCACTGGGGGAAACGCGTATTTGCGTAAGCCCCGAGGCCAGCTGCACGCCAGTGTGTCCGTGCCGAGGGTCCCCTCGGCCAGGGAGTAAAACAACTGGCAATGGGACGTGTCTGGGGAGGCAAACAGGTCTACCTGAGCATCCCCAAAGCATCTCCAAATCAGCTGGACTGTCTCGGGGGGGAGTCGCCATTCTCCCGGAAGGGCGGGCTGACGTGAGAGCTCGTCGGCTGCACGATTGAGCTTGCCTGGGACATGAACGGCGCGTGGGAACACAGGGGCATTCCCAAAGCGTTTTGCGATGCAGCTCGAGTTCTTGAAGGGGAAACACTGCATAACTATAGACTGGTAGGAAACCAGTTACAATTTAAAAGTTAAAACTTATAGATATATTTATTTCAAGAAGGATATCAAGTACCTGTGTGTAATTGAGCTCTGTAAAGTCAATAATGAGGTGGCTTTGAAAGACTGTAACCAAAAGAGGAAATAAAGGTCTCTAAACTCCAACAGAAAGAACTATTTTAGCATTCTTCAGAACAATATGGTTCTAAATAGGACTATATGTAGGAGTATGACTAAAGAACCTTTAAAGAACCATAATTTTTTAGAGTATATTTTTTAGGCCTAACTAAACACATACCCACACAATGACTCTTTCTTAACGAAAGACAGCAATATGATTGTGAAGAAGGTGAAATGTCACGACCAGGTCAGTGAGAAATATGGTTATATGATCCCATTGGTGTGAGTAAACAGGAGACCCCAGGACTCCTAATCCCCAGTGAGGGTCTCAGAGCCTCTGGCCACATCTTTCCCAAAGCCAAAGGGAATCCAACTCATGCACTGATAACCAGTTAATCCCCTCAGTTCGTTAAAAAGTATTTTATCTTCAACCAGCTCCATTCCAAACAGCATCTCTCTACATTTCCACTGAAATTCAAAGCAAGAAAAAAAATCAATGGTTTGACCAAAAGAGTACAACATCAGAGAACCACAAACATGCCCTATCGCTATACCAAACAGAAATCCTCTAATCCAGCTAATGGTTACCCTCCTGTCTGTTCACTTCCTGTCAATCCCCAATCAAAACCTGTCGTGTTAATATAAGCGACAATCAGTGGTCAAAACACAGAGGAACCACCATTGAAAGCATATCTAAAATCACCTGAGTATAGAAGGAAACTACAATCTGTGCACCCCTGACACACTCGTCTGAGACCCGGACACTTAAAACGGAGGTTGCTGGTTAATAAATCCTAAAGGAAATCAATGTATTTTGGGGAATATGATGCCTCTCTTATCAGCTCCCCCAGAGGATTCACCGATTTCAATGAGAAGTCAGGCTTTTGTGGATCAGGGCAGAGAGATGATGTTCATAAACTGCTAATGCTGTATATCTGGCCCATGTTGGGGGCATCTCATCTTTAATCACTTTAATGCTGTCCGGCACCACAGATAAGGAGAAAAATTACTGAGAAGATGAGAACTCTGCACAGGAAAGGATCTGATGTATGTGATGGTATAGGAGCAAAACCATCCCGTCACATCACCCCATCCCACACAAAGAGCATTAGTGCTAAATATGTGCTGAACTGATAGAGGCTGTGTAGGTGTGTAATCCTGCATGCTTACACAGGACAGAAGCAAAATAGAGTTGATTTTTTTTTAAGAATAAGCAAAACAAATAATCTTCATACAAAATAATAAAATCAGATTTTTCAAAAAAATATTGTAGAAGTCTTTCTGACGAAACATTCACTGAAAGAAAACATTATGAATGTAGAGTAGAGCAGAGTGTGGTAAAATAGGGTACAGGGACGATAGGGTACAGAAGACAAAACAACATCAGGGTAACATAACACTAAAATAATGTAATAAACATTAACTAAGCATCTTAAAATGTAACAAAACGCCCTAATGTACATTACTGATAACAAAAATAAGAAACAAAATTGATGGGCTATAAAATAAAGATCGGCTTCTGGAAATGTATTTATACTGTAAATAAGGTAATTCATATCTTTTATCTTTTAATCATCCAAACATATTCACCACTAGAATAAAGCACATTTTTGTATAGAATGAATCAGTCCTTTCTAAGAAAAGAGCGAGCCGTTCAGCACAAGCCGATTCACTGAAATAAATTGAATATTCTTAATAAATTTCTTAATTTATTATTAAATCGAGTCTTTATTTACCTGTTTCTCGTGGTTTCTCATTAAAATGCAATAAAGTAAATAGTATAAATTGCATTACTAATGTCATAGAATAGCATAGTTTAATAATAGCGGGGCACGTTGTAACGCAGTGTTTCAACGTTCTCTATCTGCACAACTGGAATTTAAAACTGGTTAGTGTCTTCTGCTAGTTAAGGAAGCATTAAAAAAAAACTATCTAAACTAAAAAAAAAAAAACTAAATCTAAACTGATAAATTGGAGATTTGAGATCAAAATAATAACAGATTTGTATCATTTTAAATTAATAATAAAAACTGAGATTAAGATTTTTTCTTAAGCCAGAAATTTACTTTTACTATAGTAAAATAAATGTTCAGCGATATTTTCAAAAGATTGTTGATTTTTGGTGCACTTTTTTCTCTATATAGTGTTGATATGGTAACTAATAAATACTGCAAATTTTGTTATGCTAGCATGTGTGGAAATCTTTAAACCACTTGTGTTACAATTAACCCAGTTTTACTTTGTGGTCCACGCTCCCCTAGTTAAGCTGTAGCAGCATCGCTAGTAGACCAAGTTGGTATTTTCACCTTATTTATAGCATAAGAGGTTTGTGGTTTTATTTACTTCCAGTTATTTAGCTGAACAAAAACAGCCACTTGATATTGCAAGCTGGTATTTATCACATTGTTTTAATCTATTATCGTAATTATGAACACAGGTCTGTAGCACAAATTGTTTTATCATTTACTGCACTTTGTTACTCTTCTATTTATTTTCCCATAGCAGCTAATGAAATGGAAATCTCACACATTCGCAGAAAATAGCTTACTTACACGTTGCAAAATAAGGTTTGGAGGAGCAAAATGGGGAGGTAAAAGAGAACTTAAAATATAGTTACAGTGATGATGACCTATTGAGTCACACAGAAACAAGCATGATTGCTCATTTTCAGAGCGGCATAACTCACCTGTGAAGCTGCCCTCTGTTTTTGGTTAACCATATTTTCTTATCTTCACCTCTTTCATTTTCATATTCTCATAAAGCCTGGCTGGTAATTGGCACTTGGCTAGCATGCCTGGCTGAACTCTTTGTGAAGAAGGAGAGCTCCAAATGGGACATTAGGATAACACACAGGACCTTCAATGAGTAATCAATCATGTTGTTCTTGTTGTTATGCAAATGATTTGTTGACTGGTTCTGAATCAATTAGCAGCATTCATTAATTAAAGACGAGGTGATCTGGACGACGTCAGAGCGGTGGGTAAATGTGCAGTGGGAGTGTGATTAATGGTCGAATAAATATCTACTCTCCCGAGACACTGCCTGGATATATGTGCTTTTGTGGTGTATGTTTATTCAAGTTAATATTGACATTTTGAGTGATCTGTGCATCTGTGTTTAAAAGGAGTGGTAGTTAGAGTTAATATTGCAATGCTTTGGAATATTTTATTCTGATTGGTCCATCACAGCATTCTGCAGTAACTAATCTGTGTGATCCATAATTGAGTAATTATTTCTCAGACACACATTTTGTTTTAGTTTAATGTGAGGAAACAGAAAGGAAAAGTCTAAGATTTCTAATGATATAATTATGTTTCTGCTCCAAACTGTTATATATCTTCAAATACCCTATATGTTTTGTTTTGACAGAATTAGTAAATTTATTCAAACATATTTAAGACATTAAGCAGATGCGTGGATGTGAATGGTTGACACAAAAATTAAAACATCATCAAAAACGCTGACTGCACATGCCCCTCCATGTTGCTTTATAGGTAAAAAAAACAAAAAAAACAGACCACCGTTGCCTGTGTGAACAGCTTATTTTTGTACCAGTAAAGTCATTCCGGTAATTTTACGGCAATTTACTGGTATTAATATGTGAAAGGGGATATTGATATACTCTTCCCTAAAATTAATGTAACTGTAACTTTTAATGCATTGTAAATGAAACGTAATGTTGCCTTATTAATTCATGCAATAACCATTCCTCTGATGTTCCTTCATGTTTTGTGGTGCTGCAACTGGTAGTAAAGAGTAGGGTTGTGCAACATTGAAAAAAACTGACATTGTGATATTCTACATTGTGATATGAAAAAATACAGGGATTTTACCAGATGATATGAATATCTTTATTTAGAAAAAAATGTATCGTACTAGTGGAGTGCTTTTGTTGGCTCATCTGCATAGAAAATCAATCATAATGATAAAAGCTATAAAAATTACTCTAAAGATATTTTTGAATGTGAAATCGTTTTTGGACTGAACAATTTGGCAATCAAATTTGGATTATTCATACTTGTTTTTTTCTTTTTCTTTCTTTCCTTTTACACTTGAAAGGCTGCATATTGTGATATTTGATGATCTGTTCACTCATGCTCATGCAAAGCTACAAAATATGATTTGTTTTTGTACTAAAATTGACCGTTTGAAAGCTAAGACTTTTTTCCCCTAAAAATAGCATAAAATAAAATGCTATTTCTGTTTATTGTTGCATTTCTCCACAAATGGCTCATTTTGACCTCATAATTAAATTGATAAAGTGAATCACTTACTGTTGTAAATCTAAAATAAGGCTTTTTGCTTTGGTTCTAAAGCTTGTTCGTGCCAGCTGCAGTCACACTATCAGTTATTTTTTGATCAATTATGCAGCCCTAACCATGTCACAGAGACTGCACAAAAATTCATATTCCAACATGTTCTCCTGTTTTTTTCTCTGCGTGTTCATTTTTCACTTCCGAACTGAGTGAAGTAGGAAGAAAAAGTACTTAAATAACAATCTTTGCACCTAACATAACCTCCGGCGACAGTAGCAACACACACACCCACAATTCCACTTCACTGCAGTTTGTTCACACCTTACTTGTGAAAACTCTGCCTCCTCAGGCTACCAACTGCTCCCTTGCTGCAGAACAAGGGCAAATCTGGACCGCCAGACACCACCACTGAGTCATGCTAACACATACACGCTGCCCAACATTTCCTTCAGCCCGAGACTACATACCCTGTTTCCTGCAGAGGTAAGGGTGCACGAGAGAACGTTTTCCCCATCCTAGCAATGCCACGCAGGGAAATTTAACATGCCGTCAGGCTTGAATAACTGGCCTTTGATCACAGGCCTCTTAATCTTTGCACAGACACCATCGCAGTTCGTCATGCATTCCTCCCGAATCAAACCCAAAAGCTGCTTGTTAATTCTTAACCTGTCTAGCGAAATTTGAGCGAAAGTCCCCATCCGAGCTGAAATAATTACCCCCTTTATTGAAGAAAAATTAACCCACACCCCTCTGCTGCAGCAGAAAGCACCACCGGGGCCTCCGAGGTTCCCTTATCTCCACAAGTAATAAACATTCCAGTCCCTCAAGCTTCCAGTGCGAGTGACTGAAAAGCAGACAAAAATTAAATAAATAATTAGAAAATCTCATGCATGCTGTGAACTTCTTTTTACCCAAAGCTTTCAATGCTGCTGATAATCAAAAAGAGGTATTACACAGAGAACAATCAATCGTGTGTCTGTGCAGATCTTATACACAAGCATAATTAAGATTATATATCCAGCACTGTATTTAAAGGAATAGCTCACCCAAAAATGAAATTTACTCACCCCCAGGTCATCCCAAGATTTTGTTTGTTTCTTCATCGGAACAGACATTAAGGATTTTTAGCATAACATCCCTTGCTCGGCAGTGAATCCTCTGCAGTGAATGGGTGCCGTCAGAATAAGAGTCCAAACAGCTGATAAAAACATC